TTTTTTTTTTAAAGCAGGATGAGGTAAAAAAGAAAAATTTCCTCCCCTTCCTTCCTTGCTCCTCTTTTATCTGCAAATCTACGTGCAGTTATGGTGATGGGAAGTTTTTAAGCCTTGATTATTTTTTACAGAGGATTTATGCACTTTTTTTTCCTCTTCTTCTATTTTTTTTTTTTAAATTCTTAAGAAATCGGTTCTGAATTAGGGCCTGTCTCTGCAGTTGCCTCACTCAGAGCTGAGCTGTGCAACTCCCAGAGCTGGGACAGACACAAAGTGATTTAAGGTCCCACTCCTGTCTCAGCACCCCCAGTTGTTCTCCTCTTCCCAATGTGCTCATGCTCCTGATTCCAGGACTGGGATCCAATCCAGGTGTTGCATCAGCATGACCACACTTGTGTGCCCAGCCCTGGCCTCGTGGAGCCCACAGTTGGGCTTCAGGCAGGTATTGCCACCCAATTCCTGCTCTCCAAACCCCAGGGACTCCACCTGGCCTGAGGCACAGCCCTCATTTTTGCTGAGCCAGCTGTGGGGGCATCCAAAAGTCAACGTTCCCCAAGTCCAGCATCACCCAAACCCCGCTGGGGACTAACTTTGGTGGTCAGGGATCCACAGTGGGCTCTCTCCTCACCTTTTGCTGTGCCCAGCAGCGCTGGAATGTCCCCAGTTTAAATTGGGGAAACATCCTGTGTGAGCCCAGCGAGGCAAACTGGCCCCATCTTTGTTTTCTGCCAATTAATTCACCTTCTGCTTCTTGAACAATTACTAAAGGCAGGGGCTGGGCTGGGCACACCCAGCTCTGCATGGAATATTCCTTCTTCTGGTAAATGCCAGGGCTGCTACAGGTGATGACTTGGGGGTGTTGGGTTTTTTTAACCTTCATGCTGTTATAAAACACTGTGATCCCAAAAAAACTAGGGCAAGGCTTTTCCCTGGAACAGCTTTAGCACTTTTAAGAGTTCAAAGCCAGGTTGGCTGGGGCTTGGAGCAGCCAGAGATAGTGGAAGGTGGAATGGCCTCATCCCATTCCACCCCATGGCAAGGGGGAGGAATGGAATGAGCTTTAAGGTCTCTGCCAACCCAAACCATTCCATGATTCCATGCAAATAAATAATTCCATGTAAATAAATATCCAGGAGCCAGCATGAAAGCAGGGATGGGTGATGGTGCCAGACAGGATTATCCCCAGGGGAATATTCCCTGGCTGTGGTTTCTCCCACTCCACCTCCTGCAGCCCTTTCGACCCGGGAATTAAGGGGCTGTTTGCCCTTGAATTTCCATTTAATTTAATTTATAAGGATAACTCTCCCTGTCTGTGACCCTCAGGCACTACCACAGCATGGAGGTTTTCACCCACTACGATCTCCTGAACCTCAACGGGACCAAGGTGGCCGAGGGACACAAAGCCAGCTTCTGCCTGGAAGACACGGAATGTGAAGCAGGTGCGTGCCAGAGCCCTGGGAGCTGGGAACACCTGGGAATTCCTCAGGGAATCGCCCAGCCCGCCTTGCTGTGGGTTTAACACTTGTTTCCTGGCACTTTTCCCCCCTCAGACGTGCAGAAGCAGTACGAGTGTGCCAACTTCGGGGAGCAGGGGATCACGGTGGGCTGCTGGGACGTGTATCGGCACGACATCGACTGCCAGTGGATCGACATCACCGACGTCCCACCCGGAGATTACCTCTTCCAGGTAAGGAAAAGAGGGCTGGAGACCACTCCTGTTGCTGTTACCATCTCACCCATTCTAACAAGATGTTTATTTGTACACCTCCTACTTCTGTGAGGGTGGGGAGGGGCTGGGATGGAATTCCCAGAGAAGCTGTGGCTGCCTCTGGATCCCTGGAAGTGTCCAAGGCCAGGCTGGAGCAGCCTGGGCTGGTGGAAAGTGTCCCTGCCCATAGCAGGGAGGTAGAACTGGGTGATTTTAAGGTGCCTTCCAGCCCAAACCATCCTGGATTCCGTGTCTGACCTGGCTTTAACCAAGCAGCTCCCATTTCCATTATAAAACCCTCAAGCGTAACAAAACAGCCGACTCTGTGTGCCCTCCAGCCCACCTTTTTTAAACAACCCCACCCCGTGCCTCTCCCCCTGCCCTCCCCAGGTCGTCATCAACCCCAACTACGAGGTTGCCGAGTCGGATTATTCCAACAACGTGATGAAGTGCCGGAGCCGCTACGACGGGCAGCGCATCTGGATGTACAACTGCCACATAGGTGAGAGCCCTGCCAGCTCCGGTGCAGTCCAAGTGCTTTAAATGTTGTGGGTTTTTTGTTTGTTTGGTTTGGTTTTATTTTTTTTTTTTTTAATTTTAGAAATGTTTTTAAATTTTGTATTTTTTTAACTTCTGTAAATATTTTAATTTTTGTGGGGGGTTTTAAAATTTTATTTTTAAACTTTTAAGATTTTTAGAAACGTTTTAATTTTGAAAAAAAAAATGTATAAATTTGTTTTTTGAATTTTATCGCTGTTTTAAATCTTCTATTTTCAATTTTTATAAACGTTTTATTTTTGGTGTGGTTTTTTTAATTTTAGAAATGTGATAATTTTTTAAAAACTTTTAGAAATGTGATAATTTAAAAAAAAATTTTAGAAATGTTTCTTACATTTCATTAATATTTTAAATTTTATCATTTTAATTTTTATAAATGCTTTAATTTTTTTTTAATTATATAAATGGCTTAAATTTTCTATTTTTTTAAACATTCCTAAATACTCTTAACAGCTTTATTTTTTAAACCACCAAGCAGTGAATTTGGTTAGCTCGCAGCCTTAATCTTCCAAACTCATCGAGGGCTAAACCTGGGGCCTCCTGGCTGTTTCAGTCGTGGTAAAACTAAACTAAAATTCAAATTTAATTAGCCCAGGAGAATCTTTGAGCCCTCCTTTTTGCAGCTCTTTGTGCCCTGAGCCTCCTCTGCCCCCTGTGCTCACCCTGTGCCCCCTTTGTGCCCCCTTTGTGCCCTTTCAGGCGGTTCCTTCAGCGACGAAACGGAGCAGAAATTCGACCACTTCAGCGGACTCACAAATAACAAAGTGTCCACCCGGTGATGGGACCCCCCCCCGTGCTCCCCACTATTTAAAGAAGGCAAGGACTCCTGCCTCGCTCCTTCCCAAACCACTGCACCACCAGGAAATCAAGGAAACAGCCCGGCTCCGAATCTCCAGGTGAATTATCTCCTGCAGCCGCCTTCGCTCCCCGCCTTCGGTGCTCTCACCTCCTCCGGCCCCGGAGCATCCAACCGTGCCTTCCCCCTTCCAACCTCCCCCTAAAGGTTCCTCCCTCCACTGTGCTCCCTCACAGCCACCTTTTAGGGTGCCAAGGACCCCAAAAAGTGGCTCCACCCGTCGTTCTCCAAGGCATTCATTTGGTATCTTCAAAGCCCTTTTCGACTCCAGCTTGCACGCCCCAAACGTTTGTGCTGCTGTTTCTCCTCCTCCTCCTCGGCACTGCCACGACTCCAGCTCAGCAAAGAAATACAAGGAAAGGTAAAAAAAAACAAAAAAACACAAAAAAACCAAACAAAGGAGCAGCTTTTTTTTTTCCAAGCAGAACAGTGTCAAGCATAATTTAATACTGCAGTGAAACTCTCGGGTCCAACAGTCCTCTGGAAACGGGAGCAGAACGGATTCCAACAGACCATCGGAGCTCCCCCCCACCCCGCCTCGCACACCCAGAACTCCGCAGATTCCCGGTGGATGAGGCCGCTGGACTGTGAATTCCCACTCCCAAAATTCCACACCCACCCAAGCTCTCGCCTCCCAGGCTGGACGCTCCCCCGTCTTTTCCTCGAAGGATGAATTAGTTTTAAGGCTTTGTCTCCTTACAGAGGGAATTCCTGGCTCTCATCCCCAGGGATCTGTCCCTGCCCCACTGGAAATTCATGGTGCTACCCCGTGCTCCTCTGTTTGTTTGAGGACACACCTTGCTGCGCATCTCCAGGCACAGCTACTTGAACCAGAAAAAAAAAAAAACAAAACAAAACAAAAAGAAACGCCCCCAAAAAACGGTTTAAATGCCATTTGTGGATTTCTACTCCATGAAAGCTCACAATTCCTGGTACTTTAGTGTTGTTTTTTTTATTATTATTATTTTTTTTCCCCTCTGTATGGAAGACTTCTACAAGCAGCTGAATTTTAGAGCTGACCAGGGGATTAATCCACAGGGGATTAGAACTGGCTGCCAAACTTGTGCTCCCCAAAACCTACCTCACAGGGGTGTTGTGAGGCTTAAAGGACGCAGAATTATCTTGCCAACGCCATTCATGGCCTGGCAAAGGTTTTTTTTAGCCTCCTCTGGGTTGGAAAACTCCATCTTTTCCCTGCACAAGCAGAGCCTGGGATGTGGGGGATGCTCTGCTGCCACACCAAAGGGTTTTTAAGCCCCTTAAAAAAAAAAAAACGGGCTCTGGGCCCACCAGAGCAGGCAAGTTCTGCTTTTTCCTTTTCCTAAGGAGCACACGACAACTTTTCCTTGCTTAACAGGGCAACTTCAGGCTGTGTAAATATGGGGGGGAAAAAAACCACCCCCTGAACTCACTTGTATTCACTGCCTGGCAGTTTTATGGGATATCTCAACAATAACATCACAACCAGGTTAAACGCTGAACAGCTTTTGGAACTCCTGTTCTTTCCTCCCCAGCTGGAATTTTGGACGACCAAACACACTAATTTTTATTTGTGTTTTGTTTTTTTTTTTTTTTTCTCTCTTAACCCAGAGGAGGCTTTTCTGGAAAGCCTCAGGGAGTAAGTAGTAACTGGTGCTTGGAAAACAAAGAGTCCCCCGGGGGGATGGATGGAGGGGGCTCAAAAAATCCCATTAACACTAAACTCCCCCCTCTCCTTCCCAACTTTAGGAGGATGGTGCTGATCCCAAGGAGAACCCCCCCAACTCCCTGCTCCACATGCATGTTGAACAGCACAGCCATGCTCATCTTTACAGCATTTTTTTGGGGGGAGGTTGAGTGGTGGTGGTGGGAAAACCAAGGAGGGGGAAGCTGAGGTGGTTTTTTTTTTTATTCCTGCTGGTCCGACGCTTCCTGCTGGAAAACTTCAGTTCCTGAGCCTTCCTGCTGCCTGTGCCTCCAGCCCAGGGCGTGGGACACGAGTCTCCTGGCCACGGCCGTGTCCGTCTGGGGCCGTTCCTTCCCGAGGTGGAGGAGTTCTGGGAAAAACAGGAGGGAGAAAAAAAGGATCAGCTCAAGGCTGACCCTCTCTTTCCTCGGCTCCTCCACACAATCCATCTAACTCCCTGGTTTCCTTTGGAAAGGTCTTTTCTGCGGGAGAAAATTGTTCCCCTGCTTTCCTCCTCCAGGAATTGCTTCCCAAACCGTTCCTGGCAAAATTCCTCTCGGTTTGATCCCTGCACAGCAAAGTTGGATTTTTATTTAAAGTAATCAGAGTTTGATTTTTCACTTCAACTAATCGAAGCCTAAATCCTTAGAAACCAGGAAGGAAGGAAGAGTCCCTTCTGAATCCTCAGAAACCAGGAAAAGACGGAAGAATCCTGTCTAAACCATCAGAATCCAGGAAAAAAAGGAATAGTCCTTCCTAAATCCTCAGAAACCAGGGGGAGAAAAATAACCTGCATTTTAAATAATATCTCAATATTCCAGGTGCTTTGGGACCTCCATTTTTTGGGAGGCACCCGACTTGTTACAAACGGAAGGGATGAATATTCCAAAATACGACCAAGAATCTGGGATTTGGGAATCACCTAACGCTTTATCAGCAACTGTTTGCTGATTTATTATCCAGACAGCAAGGGGGGGCTTGGCTTGGTTGTTTTTTTGTTGTGTGTTTTTTTTTTTTTTTTCCAGAAGTTTCATTAATAAAGTTTAAAATAAAAACCAAAAAAAGAGAGACACTGTCAGCCGATTAAAATCCGAATTTCCACGTGGCAAGATTCAATTTCAACCAAACGCAGACACGAAGTTCCGACGTTCCCCCGGGAGGAGTTTATAACCCGATTCACAACAACGGGGAGACTGCAAAGAAATCTCATTTTTTGGACGTGTCCTTCGAATCCAGAAGTTCTGAAAAGCTCAGGAACTCGTGGCTGTGACAGTGTCCCTTTAGAGCGTCAATATTGGGATTGTTTCCACTGCAGTGAACTGGCAGATAACGGGAGTTGGACATTCCAAGTCTCTGCTGCTAAAATAAAAAAAAAAGGTTCCTGGCATTTCTTTACTGCGAATAGAAGTGATCACAATCTGATTTTTGAGGCGATGGAAAAAAAATCAGTAAAACAATGTTAATGGCTCAGCTTAACCAGTTCTTGGTTTCCTTCACCTGATGCTGAATAAAATGATTCCAACCACGAGGTGGAACTGGCGTTGGGTTTTTGTCTCAGCTGGGCAGGGAAGAGGGAAGAGAAACTTCCTGGGAATGTTTATGGCATTGGCCTTCCAAGTTCCCACAGATCAGCAAGTAACACACACACAAAAAAACCATTAAATCTCAATTTCAGCAAAATGTAACCCTGCAATGCCAATAAAGCCCTAAAAAAAGCATCAGACAAAATATGTAATTCCTCATTCAACTTGTCATCTTGAGCATTTTTTTTTATATATGGCTGGGAAAGTAAGGAATGTGATATTAAATTAAGTGTAATATTAAATATAGTAAATATAAAATTAATAATAGTATTAATAATTAATAATACTAATTCCATTTCAGAATGGAAAAAGGTAACACAAAAAACATGAAGTGAGGAAAAAAGGGAAAAAGGGAAAAAAAAAGAAAAAGGTGAAAAATTAATGAAGGAAAAGCAATAAAGGAAAATAAAGTAAAAATGTAAAGTAAAATAAAAATGTAAAATAAAGTAAAATGAAGTAAAATAAAGCAAAATGAAATAAGTAACATAAAGCAAAATAAAGTAAAACAAAGTAAAAAAAAAGAGAAAAGGAAAAAAGTGAAAAGAAGTAAAAAAACATTTTAAAGTAAATAATGTAAAAAAGGTAAATTTAAAACCCTCCATAAAAATATAACCAAAAAACACCATTTTAAAAAACCACAAAAAATAATAATAATTAAAAAAACCACAAAAATTGTCACAGAAGCATTAAAAAGAACACACCAGTCTTAGCTATAAAAATAAATAATCTGAATTTTTAAACCTTGTCTTACTTGGTCGCTGCAGGGCCCTGAGCTTGGACTGTTTCGAGGCGTGGATCAGGGGCCGGATCTTTAAACAGGGATAACGTCGGCCCAGGGCTTGAGATGCTGCAAAGAATCATCAAAACATCAGGACATGGCATAAAAAAAAAAATACCCAAGAAAATATCAATGCGCTCTTTAAAAAAGGCAGATAAATCCCAGGAAAAAGCCCAGGGGTTGTTGGGATCCACGTGTGCCAGATGGGAACCTCTCCAGGGCCTCAGGGTGGGGTGTTTGATCCTAAAAAAGGCCAATTTTTCCCAGAATTTTGGTGCCACCGCACTCCTGAGGTCCCTGGGAGGTCACTGAGTGTTTGCAGGAATTTTGTCCAGTTACAGGAGGAAAAAAACCACGATGGAAAACCATTAATTTCCAGGAGAGCAGCACCACGTAAGAGGTGTCCTGATTATCATCCAAGCCAATTAAAAACCTGCTGCTCTGGCGAGGCAGAGTTTCCACACCCCACCACAGCAATTCCTGAGCCTCAAAATCCTTCCCAGCTGGAAGAGAACAGGAGGAAAAATCGTGAACCACCCTCAAATATACCTGTGGAAAGGCTGGAGAAGATTCCCAGGGCGTGCGTGTCATCCACCCACTGGATTTTGAAACCACTCTCGCTGAAAGGAAATGGAATATTAATTAATATATAGAAAAATGAACCCACAATAGAACCCCTCAGCCCCCTGGAGCTACCAGAGCCTCCTCTGAGGCTCAGAAATGGTGTAAGACACCAAGGTGAAACTAAAACTCAGGGTTAATCCGGTTCTGTTGCAGATTCCGGTCTGGATGCTGCTCCTGCTGAGCTCAGGGAGGTACTCACTGGAAATCTGAGAACATTTCCATCAGATCCTCCGTTTTCAGGGATGAGGGGAAGTCGTAGATCTCGGTGACGTGGCCAAAATCCCCCTCGCTGACCTGGGCCTCGCCGTAGCTGGAATAGTCCACGCTGATCCTCTCGATGCTGATGTCCTTCACCGTCAAATTCCCCACAATCTGAGGAGATTCAGGAGGAAACAATTACCAAATAATCCCTCAGGGTTTCCCTTCAAAGCCCAGCCTTCATCTTGGCCACTGCAAACTGCTCCCTGCACCGGGGTAGGCAAAGCACAGGGACCCTCCTCCTTCCCCTTGGCCACCGGTTTTCCCCCCCACTCCCCCAAAATTTGGCTCTCCCCATGCCAAACTCTACCTCTGCCAAGAGCTCTGCAGCGCAGTCGTCCTCCAGGCTGCTCTGCTCCTGCCTGCTCCCCCTCTCCTCTCTGTCACCCGCAGGTGAGCGCAGCTCCCTCCACAGAGCATCGGTCACATCCGAGGGCTCCTTCTCCTCCTCCACCTCCTCTTCCAGGGGCACCTTCCCACTGCCAGCATCCCCCCAGTGCTCCCCCTGCTCCTCAGGAGCTGATGGGTCACCACCAGCCACCAGCCCAGCTGCAGCCAGAGGCTCCCTCCGGGCTTCCAGGGGTTTCTGCTCCGTGTGGGTGACACTTGGGCACTCCCGATCTCGGCTTTCCAGCGCGGAGAAATTCGCGGGGACCTTGCCCTGCTCTTCGGGTGCTGACAGGTTCCTGCTGCTCTCCAGGCTCTTGGCAGCAGCAGCAATGCCCTTATCTTGGTTTTCCAGCCCCAGGGACTCGGTCATAGCCAGGTGTGGACAGCAGCTGCCACCACGACTCTCCAGCAGGGAGGTGTTCCCGCTCTCCAGCACTCCGGAATCCCGGCTGGTTTGGTCTCCGTCTCGCAGGAATTCGCTGCCTTCTGCGACAACAGCGTTGTCACGGCTCAGATCTTGCTCTTCTGCCTTGGGAGGTGGGTGTTTACTGTGCCCAGAAGAAAAGGAATCAGAGCAGTCTTTATCCCGACTTTCCTGCTCAGAGGAATCGTTGCTGTTCCCAAAGGACGGGATGTTTGTACCGCACGGAGGACGCTCAGCGTGGGAGCCAGCGTCAGTTTTTCCCGAAAAACCTCCTTCACCGGGCTCCTGCTGCTTTCCAAGAGCCACAGGGACACCCCCTGGGCCTTCTTCAGACTTGCCCAGCTCCTCCCGGGCATCCAACGTGGAATTTTTGGGACAGATTTCATCTCCTTGCGCCGCATCCCCTCCGGCCTCTCCGGGGCTGTCCCGCTCCCTCCAGTTCGCCTTCTTCCTCACCACCTTGGGCACGTACAGGGCTTTGTCTGGCTTCCTCCTAGGGGGCCTGGTGATCCTGCCAGAGCCCACACAGGCCCGGGAGGTGTCCCCATGGATGTCCCCTCCGTGCCTGGGCCGTGTCCCTCGGCCCCCCCGGCCCCAGGGCTGCGCAGGGCGGTGGGGCCGGGCCGGGTTGGGGCCGGGTTTTTGGTCACTGGTCTCGTTGGGCAGCCTGGGAGCAAAGGGAAAGGTGAGATGTGAGCAAGGGAACACGAAACAACACCCAGGGAAAAGGAGGGAAAAGCAGCCAATCCAACATGGAAGTCAGCACGCGGGGAAAGATGCCGCTCATTCCCGAAGGACTGGAAGATGCTGCTGGTAAAGGAGACCCTGTGGAGAAACACCACAGAAACTCATCCCCTCTGGATGGAACTGGATGAGCTTTAAGGTCCCTTCCAAGCCAAACCATTCCAGGATTCCTGTAAGCTCCCACAAAGCCCCCACAGCCACAGGAAAAGCCCCCCACACCACACACCAACCCCACCAACCTCACGGCCGAGTGGCAGATGACCGTCCTCCTCCTCCAGCCTTCCCCCACCGAGAAGCTGCTCAGCAAATCCATGTTTTCCACCGTCCGATGGATCAGGTACCTGAGGCGACTGGACAGAGGGGGGAACAGGAGCACTCTGGGAACAGAGAGAGAGAGAGAGGGGGGTCAGGGCATCAGCAACTTGCAGGAAGGAAAAGGACGGGAATGAAGCAAAAACGTAACCACCTCTCTCCCAGGTTACTCCCAGTCCAGGGTTTAAACTGGAGCCCAAAAGCCCCGCAGGACTTTATGTAAAAGAGCCCAAATCCCTTCTCTATCCCAGATGTGGAGCCAGACACGCTTTCTTTGCATGCAGCACTGGAGCACGGGGCAACTGGGAATGCCTGATCCCAGGTCTTGGCCTGAGATGCTCATTCCTGCCTGTATTCATGGGGGAAAGGCTGGTTAGGGTTAAGGTTCCCATTCCTCCTAGTCCGAGGGTGCTCCAAAAACCAGCAGTAAAATAAACCAAGAATGGATAAATCAGCAACTCAGTTTCGCTGCATTCACAAGGTCTGTTCCCATTTCGGTTTCCTCCCCAGTAAC